GGGGCAGGCGGGAGCGACGATGGAGGCAGGGGCAGGGTTGGAGCCGCAGGTGGAGGGCGAAGAGGGGCCGCGGCGCGCGTGGGCTGGCAGCAGCAACATCAGCCGCATCAGCAGCAGACGCAGCAGCAGCAGCAGCAGCAGCAGACGCAGCAGCAGCAGCAGCAGCAGCAGCAGCAGCAGCAGCAGCAGCAGCAGCAGCAGCAGCAGCACGAGGACGTGGGCAGCGGCGTCAGGAAGAGGCGCGAGCGTTGCCGTCTCTGTCAGGCGGCCGCGAGCCGCCGGAGCCCTTTGCTTGAAGCCGGTGTGGACGGGTGGCGTGTGTGTTGGCATGCGCTCAGCAGAGGGGCGGCGGCAGTGCCGCTTGTTTTTTTGCATGTGGGCGGGCGTGGTTTTGGGAAGCCGGCGTCTTGTGCAGCGCCGGTCTGCTTGAGAAGCAGCGGCCCGTGCCGGGCGCGCGTAGGGCCACCGCGGGCAGGCGTGGACGCACGGGCATGCATGCACGTTGAGGGTCCAGGCGGGCGCCTGCGGCCGCGTGTCTCCAAGTAAATGTATCTTCTTTGCCGGCATGCAGATGTGAGGAGGGTCACGGGCGCACGCACTGCCCGCCAGCCTGCTGCTCGCGGCTGTTGCTTTGCCGGGCTGTTTGGCCCCGCCCTGCCCTGCACAGGCAGGTGGGCCGAGGGGCGTCAATCTGTGCGGCAGCCGCATGCAAATGAACTCAACGGCGGTCTGCCTCGCGCCGTCGAGTGCCTGCATCGTTCAGCCACAATCTCGTAATCTAGCGGCGCCTCTGTTCGCATGCACATGGCCAGCAGTCCCCATAGATGAACAACGCCCGGCAGCGCCCGAGCAGCATGTTGAGAACACACGCCCAGACCTGGCCGGCCCCACGTGAACAAAGGAACCTGCGTTCTCGGGGCGCCGCCTCGTCCACTTGTTTGCGCACACACTCTCGGCGCAGCAGGCATCCAAACGGATAGTGCTTTGAATTACAATAAATGACCATTTTCACCCAACCAGTGCGCACAGCGTTGATGCCGGCAGCGACCGGACATGCGGTTGCAATGACGTCACGTGAACAAGCAGCTGCTGGGACCGCGCATGATCTGCACATCCATCCAGCATCCAGGAGTGCTGGCAATGTCGTGACAGGGAAGCGAGCATCGCCAGTGTGTGGGTGGAATACATGCCAGGCGCCTGGTAGAACAGTCACCGGACACTGCGCGGGCAGCAACCGCGGCGCTGGACAGGCAAAAGCCGCAGCTCTGCTGTCCTATCTGCCCGCTCCCAGTCACCAGTTCATGTACAACCGTTTGCTTGGATCGTATTCATACGACCCTCTGTCGCTCTGCTCGCATAATCCACTGCGCACCGCGTTCAAAGTTGCCCGGTGTTTGTGTTTTGTACACTCGAGGAGGCTAACACGAAGCTTATGCATGTTCGAGTCTTTGCACCATTTTTACCAGGCGTTTCCGGCCGCGTGCCAGTGGAGCCACTCTACAGCCAGAGTCGCTGGATCCCATCATCAAGGTCGGACGCCCGAATCAGGGTGAGCGAGAGGCAAGGACCGCCCTGTTGCGTTGTAACATGCAAACTCTCTACGTTAGCTTGGGTGGCGGGCAGGTCGATCCCGCCGCCGTCCCCGCTTCCCGCCCGGCGGGCCTGAACTCCTCATCAGCGCGCTCTGCGGTTCGATGAGGCTGGACGACGGCGCTGTCTATCTGATGCCCCACACTTGATGCATACCACACCAGGTACAATAAGTGATTCAGTGTGGTCACGATGAACACGAGCGCGGCTCAGGCCACCGCTATGGGTCCGCAGAGGGAGCAGGCGCAGTCAGGTGCGTGGGCGCTTGCAGCAGACAATCAGGGTTTCGGGTGGCCGTAACGGGTCACGCAGGGGACGCATGCCATCATGCCTGCCTCATGCCACGCTCTTGTGGGCACGCATGCGTGTATGCATGGAGGGCATGCCCATGCACAGTGGCGAGGCACGAGGCCGGCATGCACGCATGCGTCCCCTGCATGCTCAGGCACGTGCGTCCACATGGGCGCGTCGCCAACCCCACGGACTCTAAAAG